CAGCTTCTATCTCACTCCCTCTCACTGCTCTCTTACTACGCGATCTGCGAGTCAATTCGCAAATAGTGCAGCTGCCGAAGTGAGCCGAGCCGACCCATAGAAGTTGCCGTTTCTCACCAAAATTTTCACGTGTCCGTACGTCAGTCCCAGACGGTTCTAAGCGACCAAATTTGAAATCTTTTGGTCGCACATGGGTACTGAATATTACCCTAAAGTTTCGACTTTCTAACTCTCCTCGTTTTTGAGTTAGCAATTTTCCTGCAAAAATTTTCACGCGCCCGTACGTGAATCCCGGGCAGTCCTGGGCAACAGAAATTGAAATCTTTTTGTCATACATGGGTAGGTAACATTCCCTTAGAGCTTCAGCTGTCTAGCTTTTCTCGTTCCCGAGTCAGCAATTCTCCCGCCAGAACTTCCACGGGGTCGCACATGGGACCTAGACGTGCGTGAAGATTGATGCCACGGTCATGGGTGGCACTTGGCCGGGGAACACATTGGCAAAATTTCAGCTCCACGGTTTGCTTGGTTGGTGAGTTGAAATACCCGGGCACACGCGCACACACACACACACACACACCCTGACTAGGTCGTTGCAGTGTGCGCTTTTGCTACCTGCTGCAGCATTCTAGCACTGGACGGCAAAAACGCATAAAAACTGATCCCTTGCCTCGTTCAATTTTGAAAGTGGATGCTTTAGAACGTGTCCTTTTGGAGGAGTATGTCTGGTCCAGGTGGAATGTGGACTGCAGCATTTACTGTTATGGATAGTCGATAATACCGACGAGCGCTCGTGAAGAGACATTGTTGAATAAATTTCGATTGAAATATATTCTACTTGGCGAGCTTTCTATTTCGCGCATTATTTCGAGTATATGCAGAAGTCCGAGCTGGAGATTAAAAGACCGTAAAATCAGTCAGCTCGCTTTTTACTAGGAACTTTGAGCCAAAGAAGATGCCACAGGCCGAATGTGATTCAGAACAATGCCGATACCAATGAAAGGAGCCTGATAAGACATTTGCAAACATCTACACTGGCTTGCTGTTACTTATGAATAAGATTTTTACGAGCATAATTTGTTCCAAGTCAAACTGATTCTTGATGAAATTTTTCGGAAGAGGACATCTTTAATTCTTGTGTCCTGCCAAGCACGAGAATTAAATTCTCTGCTTTTGTAAAACGTCGCGATTAAGAAGATCCCTGATTTGCTGTTTCAAAAAAGTACAAACTGGCCGAGTCTTGAAGCAAACTGACAACTCTCTTCCGAACGCCTTCCACCCACTAGAACACATCTTGCGGGAGAGTGAAACATCAGAAAATTTATGTAACTGCTGAGTAGACCAAGTATTTGTCTCAGATCATATATCCTCATAAAAAATCCAATCGCATTATAAAATTTGTTATACCATCTTGTGATTGGTGCGAAGTTAGGCTTTAAATCAGCGGAGATAAAACTCATTTTCCAGTCTCATGTGGAATTGCTGCGCCAGTTCCAAATGAGGCTCAAAAATGAGTTTGTTGATGCCGGAAGCACCTATGCTTATTGTAGACAAGCAGTACAGATGAACAACTAGTTGGCATATGGAACCAGGCAGAAAATAATTGGCCCAACGCACGGGCTGCCTGTGCGAAGATACGTATTTTGCACAGTTTCCCGCAGATTTCTGTTGCTAACGGCACTGGTTTTTCTGGCAGACGCTTTAGCTAAAAGAATTTCAGATTGGCCGCCAGGACTGTCAGGAAACATCCCTTCAAAATCCCAATCCTCTAGCTTCTCACTTTCCCGAGTTAGCAACCTACCCGGAAGAAACTTTCAAGGGCCCGTACGTAGGTATCACGCTTACCCGCGGGCAGGGTTTGAACTCGTCAATAATTACTTGGACGGGGAACATTACCCTAAGATTCCAACGTTCTAGCTTCTCAGATCTCTGAGTTATGAACTTACCCGAAAAAAATTTTGGCGGGCGCATACGCGGGTAC